TCTCAGTTATTATGCAGTCGTTTGCTTATATTGCTGTGGACTCGTGGATATTTTATACTCCTGGGTAATAATTCAGTGTCATTCAATGTGTTATTATTTTGTTGCTCAAGTAGTTTCAGCTTTGGCCACTAGGAGCTCTTTCAGGTTGGTTCTTGTGTCCCCTTGATAAGCTCTCTTCCCTTGGTTTTTTGAGCACTTGTGACTTTCTGGTATTATAAAGCACTCCAGCCCTACAATCAGCTGATTTTCTATGGAGTCACTCACTCCCCTATGGAGATTTTAAAAAATCTAGGTTCATGGATTTTGTGCTATACCTACTGAGTCAATCCGTGGGGCAAGATCCAGGTACAGGCATTTTAACGAGTTTCCAAGTTGGTCACAGTGCGGCAGTGAGTTTGCTGGTGACACTGAGGAGTCACTGATTTATGTAACTTGAACTGAAGGTAGACAAAATAGGCCAAATGACAGAAATACTCTGGAGGTCGACGAGAATGGCGTTTACAGGCAGACGGGCTCTCAGAGTTGGAGAAGATTGAAAGGGTCTTTTTTAGGCCATTTAAATTCATTCATTTACCCGTTCATGGATTCAGACAGAATCAGGCAGCGCTGAGTAAGTTCCAGGCCCGTGACCCCCCCACACTGTGGAGATGCCAGACGAGGGCAGGGAGGCACCCACAGCTGAGTCAACCAGCAGGCACACCTCATTCCTTCTGAGTGTCCCAAATGCAAGAGTTTTCGTGTGAGTACAGAGAACACACACATGACTAGAAACGTCATTCTCTTCCTTTAAAGAAAGGTACGGGGTGGTCTGTTTCCTTTTCAAGACTGAAAGAGCCAACGTGTATCTCCAGGAGCCAATGCCGCTAGGCTGCATACACACATGTACCCTATCCACAAGGAGAAAGGCAGAAATAGACTTAGGAATGGGTTAGCAGGGTTTCTCCACCACATCAGTACCTGTGTATTTCTTTCCAGTTATTTTCCCCTAGGACTTGACAATTTGGGAACCAAAGCTGTCTCTCTCTCTCTCTCTTTTTTTTTTTAGCTCTATCACCCAGGCTGGAATTCAGTGGCCTGATCATATCTTACTGCAGCCTTGAACTCCTGTGCTCAAGCAATGCCCCCACCTTAGCCTCCTGAGTATCCAGGACTTCAGGCATGCACCACCGCCTAATTGTTTTTTTCTTTTCTTTCTTTTGTTTTTTTTTTGGAGCTGGAGTCTAGTTCTGTCACCCAGGTTGGAGTGCAGTGGCGTGATCTCTGCTCACTGCAACCTCCACCTCCCAGGGTCAAGCAATGCTCCTGCCTTAGCATCCTGAGTAGCTGGGATTACAGGTGTGTACCACCATGCCCAGCTAATTTTTGCATTTTTAGTAGAGACAGGATTTCACCATGTTGGTCAAGGTGGTCTCGAACTCCTGACCTTGTGATCCACCTGCCTTGGCCTCCCAAAGCGCTGGGATTACAGGCGTGAGCCACTGCATCCGGCCTTTTATTCTTTTATGTAGAGACGGGTCTCGTTATTTTGCCCAGGTTGGGTCTTAAACTGGCCTCAAGCGATCCTCCTGCCTCAGCCTCCCAAAGTACTGGGATTACAGGCATGAGACACTGTTCCCAGCTCTAAAACTCATTTAATACTTAGAATTATCTTACCCTTTCCTGGGAATTCCGTTGTGGCAGATGACAATGGGTGGGATGATCTGTTGTGTCTATAGATACCTTGGGGGAAAGCAATACTTGTGTTGTGAATGAAACCAGATAATAATTTCAGTTTCCATATGTGGAAGCAAACCATTGACCCTTTTCCGTTCTCTCCCCAGCTTCTTCCTGGAGAAGAATATGTTTGTTTTCTTCTTGAACATCCTGCGGCAAAAATCGGGCCGTTATGTGTGCGTTCAGCTGCTGCAGACCTTGAACATCCTCTTTGAGAATATCAGTCACGAGACCTCACTTTGTAAGGACATTCCTTGGTATTTACCTCTGTACTGCTGGGCATCTAGCAGGGTGAAGTGTGGCATGGTTTTCTCTGTCTGTGCTTCCTGAGTATATTAGTCTGCTCGGGCTGCCCTAACAAAATACCATAGACTGAGTGGGTTAAACAACAGAAATGAGTTTTCTCACTGTTCTGGAGGATAGAAGTCCAAGACTGGCCAGGCATGGTGTCTCATGCCTGTAACCCCAGCATAATAGGCGGCCAAAGTGGGCAGATGACTTGAGCTCAGGAGTTTGAGAACAGCCTGGACAACAGAGTGAAACCCCATCTCTACAAAAAACGTAAAAATTAGCTGGGTATGGTGGTGTGCACCTGAAGTGCCAGCTACTCAGGAGGCTGAGGCGGGAAAATTGCTTAAGTCAAAAAAAGTGGAGACTGCAGTGAGCCATGATTGCGCCACTGCACTCCAGCCTGGGTGTTAGAGCAAGATTTTGTCTCCAGCAGCAAAAAAGATCAGGTTGTCATCAGGGTTAGTTTCTGGTGAGGGCTCTCTTCTTGGCTTGCAGAAGACCACCTTCTTGCTGTGCATGGCCTTTGATCTGTGTGAGTGGAGAGAGATTGAGAGAGAGGCAACTGCTGTCTTTTCCTCTTAAAGGGACACCAGTCCTATTGGATGATAGCCCCCACCCTTCTGATCTCATTTAACCTTAATTTCCTCCCCCAAAGACTCTGTCTTCAAATACAGTCACAAGCAGGGTTAGAGTTTCCACGTAGGAACTTGAGAGGGACACAGTTCAGTCCCTAACCCTGTGTTTGTCCCTGTGTAGTGAGTACCGTGAGAGGGTTCCCCTCTGCTGATGATGTTGGGGGTGTTTGCTGTTCTTTATGACTTGCTGTTAAAGAGTTGGGGTCACTGAATCATCAGCCAACAGAATACGCTGGAAGTAGCAGGACAAGGAAGACCTCGGCTGGAGAGCAGGCAAGGGTGTGCGCTTTGGTACTGACCCTCCTGCTTCAGTCCTGCCACCTGGCTAGTGAGTGTGTGACTCTGAACTTCTTACCTGCCCTCACTAAGCCTCAGTTTCTTCATCCGTAGTAACCACCCTTGAGAGACACGTGCCATCAGTGCTTTCGTTTTAACACCCAGGCGCCAGCCAGAATAGAGCAAAGCCAGAATAGAGAGGGGTTTTATCCCAGGCGATTAGCTCAGTGGTCTTCAGCGAGGGGACACTTGGCATCATCTAGAGACATTCTTGGGGATGCCACTGGCATCTAGTGGGTAGAGGGTGGGGATGCTACTATACATTAAGGATAGGTCTCCACACCAGCCCAAATTGTCCCCAGTGCTGAGGCTGAGAAACCCTGGTTTGGTTCCTAATCCTCCATGCTAGAGTGCTAGCTTTGTTATTCCAAAGTGACTTCACCGAGCCCTGGTTCTGCCCACCAGAAGTGGGGAACAAGTGGCCAAATGTCTTTATTAGAGGTAGGCTCTAAGTCGCCCGGACAGGTATGAAAAAAGTGTGCAGTGCGTAGAAGGAGGTAGAGATGGTGGCATTCCTCTGGCCAAGAGGGAGAGAAAGGACTGCTTAGTGATGGCTCTCACAGCTGCCGCTAGGTGGTGCTGCTGCCTCAGAGATGCCGTAATGCTGCTTGGTGACTGCAGGTTGACAAATATGGGCCAACTCCTGTCTCCGTAAATGGTATCCCTTGTTACCAGCACCTGTTTCACTGGATGTGAAATGACTATGGTTTCTGAAAGCTCTGAGGTGAAGATCCCACTCAGCAGCACAGACCCTGGACTCAGACTGAACCAGGTCCCAGGCTCCCTGCATGCGCCAGGACAGTGAAGGCTCCGAGCTGCTGTCTCTGCATCTGTCAGGACGAGAGCACAGTGGATGCAGCAGAGTGGCTGGAGGCGTGAGCATGAGAGCAGGTGTGCAGAGCGAGGCACGGGGTCTGGCGGAAAGGACGTGGCCATGGCGTCGGTTTTCTCTTTTAAGGCTGCGTTGCCCTCGGTTCCCTGCCCTGGGAAGCCTCTCAAAGCACAGCTAGGCAAAGGGCAACTAGATTGAGATGGGGGTGGGGCAGTCAAAGCTTATGGCTTTTAGAGGGTTTCTCTGAATCATACGACTTTTAAAAAGTATATATATTTAGTGTGTACAGCTTGATTTATTATATACACATACACAAACAAAAATATGTATACATTGTGAAATAATCACTGCAATCGAGGGAATTGACATCCATCATGTCACATTTGTGTGTGTATGGGGAGGGGTGTGTGTCCACACTGTGTGATGAAAATATGTCAGACCTATCCTCTTAGCAGATTTCAAGTCTGTAACACAGGAGGGTTATTAACTGGAGTCACTGTGCTGTATGTGAGAGCTCCGGAACTTACTCATCGTGCCTGGTACCCTTTGATCAGCATCTCCCCATTTCCCCTCCTCCCCAGTCCCTGGTAGACTCTCTGCTTCTATGAATTTGACTGTTTTAGTTTCTCCCTACAAGTGAGGTCATGAAATATATGTGGCTTTTCTTGTCCTGGGACCAAAAAGGGTGCCCTGCTGTGAGAAACCTGGGCAGATGCCCCTGGCTTTATAGCCCCTCACCACAGTGCTTTTATAAGCCCTGCAAAAAGGGTAGAAATCATTGCACATTTACAGAACTCAGATTTGTAAGGCATGAGGAGGATAGATGACCTTTGCTTTTATTTTATTTTCTAACCACCAAAGAAAAAAATGTCCTCATTGTCAAATAACAAAAAGCCAAACGTTTGAAAAACATAGTCAAGTTTCTGCAGGATTTCACCCTCACAACCCATTGTGCATTGGCCATTCTGCTCTTTTCTTTTCTCTTTCCCACCCTCCCAGCGTGTCTGAGCTCTCATTGTCCCCTTCTGTAACGCTGGCTGCTTTGGCTTAGGAGCTGCAGCTTGGCCATAATCTATTTAACCTGACCGTGGGCATTTAGGTGCTTTCCAGCTTTTCACTCTTACAAGCAGCCATTTCACAAGTGCACCTGTTGGCTGTTGGGGTCGGTGACCTAAGTGACAAGAGTCCTGAGAGACTGAGATTACGTACAGTCTCCCGGGTTTATTAGAAAAGGATACCACAGAAAGTCAGCCACAGTGAGGGGGCAGTAGTAGAAAAGTCCCAGTCTGATAATAGAGGCGCCTCTAGCTGTCTTATGGTGGTCCCCCGCCACCCACAGAGTCATCTCTTTTAGGCCCTGGAAAAGTCCCTGCTGGGGAGTGGAGGAGCCTGTCGCTGTCCCAGCTCCAGGGTGCCGCTAAGAGACTTACAGTTGTACATCTGAAGCTCCCAGCTTGATGTCTGTGCTGCTGGTGCCTAGAAGCCACTAACCAGTCACTACAGGGCTCAGTAGGACAGACCAACAGCTCCTTATCCTGCCAGCCCATTACCTTTCCCTACTTGTCCCCAGCAGCAGCCAGAATGACAAAGAATGAAAAAGAAGTGCTCTGGGCATCAGAATCACCTGGGCCACACGTTACCCATGTTAGCTTCCAGGTGGATAAATAAACTGTGGCCTGTTCAGAGAATGTAATACTATATAGCAAAAAAGAAAAGAGAAAGACAGGAAAAGAAAAAAAGGAATGAACTACTACCTCTGCATACACAGCAACCTGGAAAGCCCTCAGATGTGGTCATAAGCGAAAGGGGCCAAACATAGGAAGTGTGAGCACTGTCTGCTTCCATTAGGTGAGGTTCAGGGACAGGCACAACGAGTCTAACATGCTAGAAGCAGAACAGGGGTTGCATGGGAGTAGCAGGTACCGACTGGGCAGGGGCGTGAGGGAGCCTCTTGGAGAGCTGGGAGTGTCAGATGTGGGATCTGGATGGTGCTTACGCTGTGTGTATATGTAAAACTTCATCATGCTGGATACTTAGGGTTTGTTAGGTATATGTATATATGTAAAACACATATGTATGTTGTATTCTCATGGGTCTGTAAAACACATATGTATGTTGTATTGGTCCATTCTCTGAGAATGTATGTACACTTAAGTGTTTTACATAGATAGATTTAAGGCTGGGTAATTTATAAGAGAAAGAGGTTTAATCGACTTAGAGTTCAGCATGGCTGGGGAGTCCTCAGGAAATTTACAATTATGGCAGGACGGGAAGCAAACATGTCCTCCTTCCCATGGCAGCAGCAAGGAGAAGACTGAGTGCCCAGCAAAGGGGGAGGCCCCATATAAAAGCATCACATCTCGGGAGAACTGACTATCACAAGAACAGGATGGGGGAAACCACCTCCATGATTCAATTATTTCCACCTGGTCCCTCCCATAACACCTGGGGATTGTGGGAACTACAAGATGAGACTTAAGTGGGGATACAGCCAAACCATAGTGTACATGTACGTGTATGTGTAGTTCCACATATGTCAAGCTGTCCACTGGGGAAATGTGATGTATATAACTCATCTTAAAAAATTTAAGCTTCCTATGATCCTGCCCTAGACCCACTAACTCCTCACTTGGGAGGAGGGTCCCCAAGCGCTGCCTCAGGAGTTCTTAAACTCCGGAGATTTTGAAAACCGCTCTTGTGAGACTGCAGAGCGCACAGCCTGCGTACCATTCCTGCTCAGAGTGCACAGTGGCTTTTCTGAATGCAGTGGCTTTCCCGGAGAACTGGCTTCCAGGGAGGACCAAGCCACAGGCCCACACTGTGGCTTCCGCACGATCCCGGGCTCCCGGATTCCTCTTTGTGGTGTTTTTGATGATTCCCAACAGACTGTTGAGTAACACTTTGATTGACCTCGGTTAGGTACCTCGACGACTCCAAGTAACTTAATGGTTTATTTCCTCTTCACCCCCGAGCAGCTGTGTTCAGTCCCGGGAATATGGTAGACATTTTCTTTGCTTGATTTGTTTTTAGAGACAGGGTCCCACTCTGTCACTAGGCTGCACTACAGTGATGTGATCACGGCTCACTGCAGCCTTGAACTCCTGGCTCAAGCTGGGACCACAGCCGCACACCATCACACCTGGCTAAAGTTGAGATTTTCAATCTCCAGGTAACAGTAATAAGAGTAATGGGAGCTAACATTATTGAGTTCTTGCTTTGTGGCCCATGCTGTCCTGAGGGCTTTTTGTGCATTTTCTCTGTTAATCCTTACCACAACTTTATGAGGAAGGTACTGCTGTTCTCTTTTCCAGACAACCTGGGGCGTGGGGAGGGTCAGCAGCTTGCTCCAGGTCACAACACAGCTAGGAAGTGGCAGGGGCGAGATGTGGACACAAGCAAGCCAGTCCAAGGCCGTAATTGAACCCAGAGCCTCCGAAACACAAGCACGCATGGGAAGCTCTGCACACTTCTTACATGCAGAGCGCTGGGTCTACCCTTGGAGATTCTGATTCGGTGGGGCAGGCCTGGGGCCAAGATCCTGCAGGTCTGACACGCTCCAGGGGTTGCAGTGCTGCCCATCTGAGGACCAGACTCTGAGTAGTGAGGCTCCAAACCATGCCCTCCACAGGTGTCAAACCTGTTCTGCCTCTAGCTGTCTTGGGGACAGGGCAGGTGAGCTGGTGCAGTGCTCACACACCAGCAGCCCAAAGGACAGGCAAGGGGACAGCAGTGCCTTGCTTTGCAGGGTGGCCAGTGAGAACAGAGGGAAACGTGCCTGACAAGGCCCAACACCAAGATTTTGAACTGCAGTTTTGGCCGAGACACGTGTTTTGCTGGCCAGCACAGCTTTAAAAGCTAGTTTGCTCAGTGGCAAACATGTCAGGATCAGGAGATTCGCAGAGCAGTGTGCTAGGAGCTGGGGAGTGGGGTTGCTCTTCAGTTGACCCTTGGGCCCTCATCCAGTTTTCATTGTTGGGCCCCCGTAATGCTTGACAGGCACAGGCTCTGACATCAGACCCTAGGTTTGAATCTCTACTCTGTGACTCTCTGTGCTCAGGTAAGTTAACTTCTCTGAGATGTTTTGATTCTTCTGCAAAATGGGAAGAATGAGTCCTAGCCTGCAGGACCCTGTGATGGTTGATGGTCATGTAAAGCACTCAGCCCAGTGCCCGCCATGTAGGGATTCAGCAGGTGACCTTTATGAAATCATGTTCCTATATAAGGAGGGAGAAAACCCCAGTGTGGCCTGTTGTGGCATTCAGAGTTGATGATGTGATTTGTGATGGCAGAAGGGGGCAGCTTTTTATCCTCATCTATGGGTGGTTTGTGAAAATGCCCACACACCAGCCGGTCTCCCCCACCCCCAGCTCTTTGTTGAACTTTGCCATCAATGAAAAGAAAAATGTTGGAGTGTCTTTTTTTATTTGGCATGGGAGGGCGGGGAAGGGCTGTTTTCTGGCGATGCCTTTGAACTTCCTGGTGACTGTGCATCACAGATGATCTCTTTGCTGGTTAAAAGTTAAGCTCTTCCAGTTAGCGTGTTTAATCCCAGCAACCCAGAGGCTTACCTGATTCAAGTACATTAACGTGGTCATGTGCTGATTACCTGGCTTATCTTTCCTGCAGCATGAATTAACCTGTTTTGTTTTCTTTTGTTTTCTCCCTCTAGATTATTTGCTCTCAAATAACTATGTAAATTCTATCATCGTTCATAAATTTGACTTTTCCGATGAGGAGATTATGGCCTATTATATATCGTTTCTGAAAACACTTTCGTTAAAACTCAACAACCACACTGTCCATTTCTTTTATAATGAGGTAAGTAATTGCCAGAGGGGCACGTGTAGGTGTGAAGCCAAATCAGTTACAGCAGCGCCTTAGGTCTGGGTGGTCGTGTGTCTGTTTACAAAGCTGGTACGTGCTTGTTTGGATTTTCACGGCAACACTGTTTGACTTTGGCATGCTTAAAACTCTTTTTAAAAATTATGTAAGTTACCTTTCTATTGAAAAAAATTAATTTTTGTAGAGACAGGGTCTTACGGTGTTTCCCAGGTTGGTCTGGAACCCTGGGGCTCAAGCGATCCTCCTACCTTGGCCTCCCAAAGTGTCAGGATTACAGGCGTGAGCCACCACACCGGGCCAGCCTTTCCATTTTTAATGTAAAATTCAGTCTGTGCTGAGAGCCTTTTACTTGGCAGAGCGGAGGCATGCCTAGAGGTTGTCTTGGGGAAGTGTTGCCCTTTGGGAAAAGCGGGAACTCCAGTCAGGGCTGGCTTTGCCACTTCCCCCCTGTGTCACCTTCAGGAAGTCCCAGACCCTTTCTGAATCTCATCTGAGTTTCCTCATCTGAGAAATGGGACTGAGAATATGTATCTTGTAGGGTTATTAGGGGATGAATTAAATGAGATGATGTCTTCAAAGTGCCTAGTATGTACATGGCTCCCTGAAATAATAGACATTGCTATTCTTGGTAAGATAATGTCCCTGACACTCCTTGGGAGAATTATTAAAACAACTTAAATAGATCAATTGCTCCTGTCCTCACACCTAAAAGCAGTTTGAACCATAAGGTCAATGTAGCTGCCATACCAAAAGGTCCAGGCACTGGCTGTGCTGGGGCTGATTCATCCTGTGGTTCAACCATATCAGCAAGGACCCAGGCGTTCCCATCTTCCTGCTCTGCTGACTGTACAGGTATCTGTCCTCAGGTTCAACCCCTCATGGTCACAGGGTGGCTGCCCCTGCCCCCAAACATTGCATAATCATGCGTCACTGCTGAAATCCCTGATGAGATCGCTTCCCTTCTCGTGTCTGTTTTTAACTTCCAAAGAAAACTTTCTCCGAAGGCTCCAGCTTTCCGCCTCATGTCTCCCCACATCCCATTGAGTACCTCTTAGCTGTCAGGTGCTGGGGTAAGCATGAGATCAGAAATGATCTCATTTAATCCTGGAAACCATAAAATAGGTGTTATCCCCATTTTATAGATGAAAAAACAGAGGTTTAGAAATACTGCATTGCACAGGTTAGAAGCAGTAGAAGAGGTAAGGAACCCAGGTCTGACATTATCTGGACTCCTTTTTTTTGAAGTTACCATTTTAAAAGTAGAGATGGGGTCTTGTCTTATTGCCCAGGCTGGTCTCAAACTCCAGACCTCAAGTGATCCTTCATCTGTGGCTTCCCAAAGTGCGGGATTTTGGGCATGAGCCGCTACTCCCACCCAGTGAATAAATGATTACTTCTACTACTGCCACTACTACTGTTCTTTTTTCTTTTGTTTTTTGAGGCCGGGCCTTGCTCTGTTTGCCCAGTCTGGAGGACAGTGGCAGTCACAGCTCACTGCAGCCTCAAGCTCCTGGGCTCAAGCTATCCTCCCACCTCAGCCTCCCAAGTAGCTGGTACTATAGACGTGCACCACCACACAGACTTGGACTTTTCTGTTTCTTCTGTGGTTTTGCCTTCCCATCCCTTTCCACATTCCCCATGGGGAATGAACCACTGACTTACGGTTCACGTTGTCAACCTTTTTTTTTTTTTTTTTTTTTTTTTTTCTTTCTGAAGTCTGTGTTGGAATCCAGAGAGTTGGGGTGGGGCCAGGCCTGGCTTCTGGGCTCGTCATTTGTTTTTGTTAATTCTTTTGTTTTAGCACACCAATGACTTTGCCCTGTACACAGAAGCCATCAAGTTTTTCAATCACCCTGAAAGCATGGTTAGAATTGCTGTGAGAACCATAACTTTGAATGTCTATAAAGGTAAGTGTCCTCATGGGCTGGTGCCTTGGCAGATTTCTGACTTGGCAGCAAGCGCTCACTCCCATGTGTGTGTGCTTATGGTTCTCGGAGTGTACTGAGGGAGCACATTGATGATGAGCCGTGGCAGCTTCTCACGAAAAACATGGAGTCCCCTAGCATTTAGCTGGCTACTCCTGGAAATTCTTGCCTTCTCCAGGCATGTCCAAGTCTTGCTCATGCTGCCACCCAGAAGTAGAATGTCCTAAGAGAGGCATGTGTGGGATTTAGAGTGGCTGTGTTACAGAATTTGGGGAAGCAAAGTTTTCTTTTAAATATGACATTTAAATTTTTTTGTGTTTTGGCTTGTGAAATACACTTTAATACAGCTAAGGGGTAATCTGACTTTTAAGTAATACATAAAAGCATGTCACGTTGTGAACAGCAGGGGGCAATGTTGTGTTCTCAACAGGCTGCAAAGCCCCGCACTAACAAATTCCTCCTTTCTTTCAAAATGTTCTTAATGCCCAAAAGATTGCCCCAGGGAAAAAGCCATTCCCTGCTCTCTGCTGCACTGACACAAAGGCTGCCTGGCCAAGGTTTCCTGAACTGGAATTGTCCTTCCAAGGCGATGCTTGGAAGTTCTCTGCCTAATGCCTGGCTTATTTCCCCTGGAGCCACCACAATGGAGATGGAACTGTATTTTCTTAGGGATGAAAGGGCTTTGACTTCTGTGAGTCAGAATGTTATTACTTGCTAATTAGGGTAGGGGTTCCTAACTCCAGCCTAGCACTGGGCTTACATTAAATTTAAGAACCTTTCTAAGAGCCCAACTGGACCCATCCAGGGGTCGTAAACTGAGGACCTGTGGGCCATATCCAGCCATCAGACGTGTTTTAATTTGCTTCATTTTTGAAAAAAATATATAGTTGCCAGTATTTAAAAATTGGGAGGTCTTGCATGGTAATCTGGATTTGCGCCTTGAAGATGTAGATTTGGCTAGTCGAGGTCCACAGTCCTGCAGGGTGGGGGTTGGCGGGCACAGAAGCAGCTGCCCCTTTGGGGTCAAAGCCCATGCTCCCAGGTCACATGCTGGACCTCCTGGCCACCAACCAACCTGGCAGGCTTCTAAGTTTGCCACCCTGGTCCAAGCCACAGTTGGGTCTGCTGCCTTCTGCTCTGTTTTCTCTTGTCCCCTTCTGACCTTTTATCTCCATGCAGATGCCTCCTGCCCTAGCGTCTCTCCCTCTGCGCAGCTCTCTCACCTTCCCAGTTCCTAACCCTCTTAACTGTTGTCTGTTTTTTGCCTTTCCTTCAATGACGATTCCTGTGTTCCTTATTCCAGTGTCATGTAAGTTATTAACCTCTGGTTTTCCGCTTTCTTAATTTATCCTTATATGTAAATATGGGAACCTTGCTTGAGGATGGTGTAATTCTCAGTGTAGTCTAGCTCAATCCGCCACTGATAAGTAAGCTGTCCAATGCACTATCAATGTTTAGCCCAACTAATTTCTTTTTAAGTGTATCACAAGAACTGCCTTGATGACTATAGTTTTATGAATAAGATACACATTTTCAAGTATTTCCGGGAAAGACAGACAATTTCAGGTTATAGCAGAGGGCTTTTTCATTGTGGTTTTGGGTTTTGCTTTGTTTTTGTTTTTGTGTTTTTTTTAAAATCTCCCCCAAGTTATTTTTGGTAGCTTGACTTTTTTTCTTCTGTGAATTTTCTCAGTGGACAACCAGGCCATGCTGCACTACATCCGAGATAAAACTGCAGTTCCTTACTTTTCCAATTTGGTCTGGTTCATCGGGAGCCACGTGATCGAACTTGATGACTGCGTGCAGACGGATGAGGAGTAAGTGACGCCCTCAGGGCCACTCAGTATGTAAACAGGGCAGTTAGGGAACAATTCTGTTTTCATCAAGGAAAAAGAAACCCAAGAACAGCACTTCCCTACCTCTGTGTGGGCAGAGCATGGACTTCCATACTCTAAAAGGTTCTGCCAACCTGTTGGTAATAATGAAACGCTGGAAACAAGTCAGCCACCTCCCAGAACAGGCGGGGTAAATCAATTCAGTACAGCCATAGATGGGGCTGCTAGGCAGCTGGTGAGAAGGCCTAGGGGCTCTGTCAGCTGATGAAAGCATTAGCAAAGTGTCGTCTCTGTAAGATGGAATAGCGTTTGGCAATGAAAAGGAATGAAGCACTGACATGTGGTACGGTGTAGATGAACCTCAAAGCCTTAGGCCTAGTGAAATGCCCAGAGTAGGTGAATCTATAGGGGCAGAGAGTAGATTGGGGGTCTCCTAGGGCTAGCATGCTGTCTGGGGACATAGGAAGCAACTGCTAATGAGTATCAGGCTTTTTTTTTTTTTTTTTTGAGACAGAATATTGGTCTGTCACCCAGGCTGGAGAGCAGTAGAATGATCATGGCTTACTGTAGTTTTGACCTCCTAGGTTTAAGCAATTCTCCCACCTCAGCCTCCCAGGTAGCTAAGATGACCAGGCCCATGCCATCACACCCAGCAAACTGTTTTGATTTCTAGTAGAGATGGGGTTTTGCCATGTTTCCCAGGCCTATCTTAAATTCCTGGGCTCAAGCGATCCTCCTGCCTCAGCCTCCCAAAGTGCTAGGATTACAGGTGTGGGCCACCACTTCCGGCCAAGTAAGGGGCTTTTTCTTTTTTTCTTTTAAGACGGAGTCTTGCTCTGTCACCTAGGCTAGAGTGCAGTGGTGCGATCTCTGCTCACTGCACCTCCGCTTCCCAGATTCAAGTGATTCTCCTACCTCAGCCTCCGGAATAGTTGAGATTACGGGCATGTACCACCACGCTTGGCTAATTTTTGTATTTTTAGTAGAGATAGGGTTTCACCATACTGGCCAGGCTGGTCTCAAACTGCTGACCTCGTGATCTGCCTGCCTTGGCCTCCCAAGGTGCTGGGATTACAGGTGTGAGCCACCGCGCCTGGACATAAGGGTTTTTTTTGCAGGGGGATAACAATGTTCTAAAATTGACTGTGATCATGGTTGGGCAACTCTGTGAATCTATCAAAAACCATTACATTGTATACTTAAATAATTGAATTTTATGGTATGTAAATTACACTTCAATAAATCTCTTTTTAAAAAATGTTGAGAATGGTGCTTTTGTTCTTAGAGGGGTGACTACAAGTTCCAGAGCAGGGTTTCTTTCCCTTGTCTCTCTTGAACTGGGTACCATTGTTGTGGGTGCTGTCTTGTGCATTGTAGGATTTTTACCAGCACCCCTGGCCTCTACCTACTAGATGCCAGTAGCACCCCTCCCCAGTCGTATTAACCAAAAATGTCCTCAGACATTGCCAAATGTCCCCTTTAAGGCAAAATCACCCTCACTTGAGAACCACTACTCCAGGGTGACAGCTTTGCCCAGGTCTAGTGAAAGGTGCATCCAGTTGGGGTCAGGATGCTAAAGGGACCAGAAAAGAATTGTCCTGGGGGAGGGGAGCTAGGCAGATAGAATATGAGATCTGATATGGGGAAAGAAGCAAGGATGGGTAGATGGCAGACCTGACTGAGCAACTGGGAAAGCTAGAAGCCTTGTGGATTTAAACAGTGGTGGATACAAGACATAATGAGACACTTCACTACAGAAAGAGCAAAGTTATACAAGCAAGGAAATGAAATCATAGTCCTCTATTTGGCTGCACATTGAATGTTATGATAGCATCAACCCCAATTGCTGATAACTACTTGGGGGGAAATGGCAGAGAGAATGGAAGAGTTCCGTCATAACAGGAGGTGAATAGATAATACCTGAAACGTCTCAATTGCAAAATAGAAGTCCACGCAGATTTTCTAGGAAATGGGAAGAACCACCTGCAGAAACAGCTGCCTCTAAAGAGTGGGGAGAAGTAGAAGAGGGCAGGGTGTGGTAGCTCACACCTGTAATCCTAGCACTTTGGGAGGCCGAGGCGGGCAGATCACTTGAGGCCAGGAGTTGGAGACCAGCCTGGCCCCATCTCTACTAAAAATACAAAAATTAGCCAGGCATGGTTGTACACTCTTGAAATCCCAGCTATGAGGCCGAGGCACGAGAACTGCTTGAAACCAGGAGGCGGAGGTTGCAGTGAGCTGAGATCGCCCCACTGCTCTCTACCCTGGGTGACAGAGCAAGACACTGTCTCAAAAGAAAGAAAAACAAAAGTGGAGGAGACGGGGCCACGAGCTGCTCTTTTTCGTTATCAGCATATCAAGGCAATTTGAGTTTTAAACCTTGCTGCATATGTTACTTTGGTATTTTTTAAACCAAAGTATTAAAAAGTGAGGCAAATTAAATATACCATTAGAGAAAATGTTCCAAAGTGTCTTACTAAGTGGGAGAAAAGTGCAAAACATTGGGCATTAATGTTCTAGGTCTCAGGTGCACAGTGGATTCATAGGCATTTGTTATGCTATTGGGCTTTACAACATGTATTTGCTATGAATATTTACCAAATACCTTTTTTCTTTTTTTTTTCTTTTGAGATAGAGTCTTGCTCTGTCAACCAGGCTGGAGTGCAGTAGTGCAGTCTTGGCTCACTGCAACCCACCTCCCAGGTTCAAGTGATTCCCGTGCCTCAGCCTCCTGAATAGCTGGGGCAACAGGGGCATGCCACCATGTGTGGCTAATTTTTTGTGTAGATGTGGGGGTTTCACTATGTTGGCCAGGCTGGTCTTGAACTCCTGACCTAAAGTGAACTGCCTGCCTTGGCCTCCTAAAGTGCTGGGATTATAGACATGAGCCACTGCACCCAGCTGAAATATCTTATTGAAGTATAAGAAATAATGGCCTGGGTGTAGTGGCTCACGCCTGCAATCCTACCATTACAGGAGGCCGAGGCAGAAGGGTCACCAGGAGTTTGAGACTAGCCTGGGCAACATGGTGAGACCCCCCCCAACCCCCCACAAAAAAAATTTTAAAATAGTCAGGCATGGTGGCAGGTGCCTGTAATCTGAGCTACTTGGGAAGCTGAGGTGGGAGGAACACCTGAGCCTGAGAGGTTGAGGCTACAGTGAGCACGCCACAGCACTCCAGCCTGGGTGACAGAACGAGACCCTGTCTCAAAACATAATAAACAATAAGTAAATAAAAGGAATAGTTATCGAGAATTATATAAAAGAAGCAAAATTGATCTTAGTATTACTTTATTTTTCTCAAGTATATACCGTTAGATGGATAGAAATGTGATGTCTGTACCTTAGATGTGACTGCCACTGGGAGAGGTGGAAGTGTAGCAAACACAGACATTAGGGTTATAAGTTCCAAAATATTCATAGTGGATATCTGTGAGTGGTGGCTTTACAGGAGACTTTGAATTCTATTTGCTTTTATTTTTTTAATTTGCTGTTGTCAAAAATGGCCATCTATCAGTTGGGTTAATAATTACAATACAAACAAAACGCTTAGCTAGCATTTGCAGCATACTGCTTTGAGGGTGGTGAAAGCGTCCCCACCAGCTGTTTCTAGAGTGTGAGACTGACTCTACCCAAGAGACATTACCCGGCTACCCTGACCACCCCCTCCCCTGACCCAGCATGCTATTGCTAACTGCAGGGAGACCAAGATCTCCAGGGCAGGGGCCTGGGGGAGGGTCGTTGTGTCTTTGCTGTATGCCTGCATGTGTCAGGGCCACTGGGGTAGCCTGCTTTTCTCTTTAGAACTCTTCTGGAGCATTTTAATTACAGTGGATTTATTGCTCCATTAATGCTGCTTATCTGGGGAGCCGGGGAAGCTTGTCACAATGGCTAGTGATTGTGCTTGTGCGGTGGCTTGCTGGAAGAGCTTAGCAGCATTTTGCTTTGTTTACCTCATTCTAGGGGGGCTGTGATAGTGGGAGGGATGATATTGAGGCCCCCAGAGAGTGGAGGTACCCGAGCAGTTCCCTGAAATTGATTACAGTAAACCTGCCCATTATCCCTTTGTGTATCTCCCCAGCAGGGGCCACGATAAGTGTCTCTTGAGACTAACTCAAATATTGATTAAATGGATGAACCTCCAGTGACCTAAGTCTCAGGCCATTGATGTTAGTCTCAAAGGCTCCAAGCGCTGGCCTCTAGGCTGAGGTGGTCATTTCTCCTGGCAGGCACCGGAATCGGGGCAAGCTCAGCGACCTGGTGGCAGAGCACCTAGACCACCTGCACTATCTCAATGACATCCTGATCATCAACTGCGAGTTCCTCAACGACGTGCTCACGGACCACCTGCTCAACAGGCTCTTCCTGCCCCTCTACGTGTACTCACTGGAGAACCAGGACAAGGTGGGTCCCGCCCCATGGCTCCCTCTGGCGGAAGGCCATCTTCAGAAATGGGAAAGAACAGTCCCCCTGGAGTGGGGCTGAGCATTGCAAACTAGGACTGAGATTTTTGTTTTTTTGTTGTTGTTGTTTTGAGACAGCGTGTCCCTCTTGTGTCCAGGCTGGAGTACAATGGCGCCATCTCAGCTCAATGCGACCTCTGCCTCCTGGGTTCAAGCGATTCTCCCACCTCAGCCTCCCAACTAGCTGGGATTATAGGTTCATAGTAACATGCCTGACTAATTTTTGTACTCGTTGGTACAGACAGCATTTCACCATGTTGATCAGGCTGGTCTCAAAATCCTGACCTCAGGAGATACACCTGCTTGGGCCTCCCAGAGTGCTGGGATTACAGGCATGAGTCACTGTGCTTTCCAGGACCAAGGTTTTGAGTCCATGGGAGAGTCCTCTCAAAGCACGCTGGTTTTCCTTTCCTTTTCCTCTGGTTTCCTGAGACAGAGTGTGTGCGTGAGAAGACTGTAAAAATGAATGAGAAAGGATTACTGACATCAGGAGGAAACAGGAAACCTCTCCAAATGTAGGTTTTTGGTTTCTGCACATCCTTCCCGGAGGTGTTCTCCTCCCTGGTAACTTTTCCTGGTTGTTGCCAGGTTGTTGATTTGGAGAAGATGCAGATGGCAGCAGAACTTGTGCAGCATGGAGGGACAGGATTGAGCATACACGAAATGGTCCCAGGGTGGAGACTGTTCCCTGTTAGCAGACCCCAGAGGCCAGTGGGGATGGTGGCTGGTAACATGCAGGGCCTCAGCTTCTCTCCCAGTCTCAGGGCTTCTGGTTCTGTTGCTCTGGGGTGGGCCCAGGAATCTGCATGGCTCACCTGTCCCTCAGGTGATTTTGATTGTGTGCTGCTGGTTCTCAGGCCCCCTCACCCCCTCCCATCCCCTCCCCTATGAGAAATGCTGCTTCCAGAGGGGAGGCCTCTGTGTAGTTCCTCTGGAGGTAAGGGGGCCTCAGCAGGATGCAGGACAGAGCCAGCTGGTCACCATGCAGGGGTGCCCCAAGGGGATGGAGTTTGGGGGATTCTAACTACAGATGAGTAAATAAAAGAAAATGTATTTTTAGTAGAAACAGGGCTTCACCATGTTGGCCAGGCTGGTCTTCTGACCTCAGGTGATCCACCCGCCTCAGCCTCCCATAGTGCTGGGATTACAGGTATGGGCCACCAGGGCTGGCCAGGACGACTGAGGTTTTGAGCCCGAAGGAGATTCGTTTCAAAGCACACTGATTTTCCTTTCCTTCTTATTTCCTGAGACGGAGACAGAGTGTGTGTGTGAGAAGACTGTAAAAGTGAATAAGCTCCTTAGCTTTAACAGAGGCAGCTCTGGGAGGCAGAGACAAAGTATGAGAATTGGAGTTTTCAGACCTGCGTTCAAATTCTGCCTCTTCCCTTTCTAACTCTGACCTTGGACAAAGCAGTTAACCTGAGCTGTTTTCTTAGGCTGCAAAATGAGGGCCTAATGATTCTTCTCTCATTAGAGAAGTGGGTGTGAGATGGAGGATCTTGAAGTTCAGTATAAATGAGGGGCTTTTCCAAAGCCTGAATGCCCTAAACCTCCTCCCCCACTCCACGCTTTGAAAATACCTTCCAAAGAACAGGCCTCCTGGGGACCTCTCCTGCTGGGGTGTCTAGTGCCCCAGCTGGTGGAAATGAACGTGCTTGGTAACTTCAGGAGCAAGTTCTGGTGGGTCAGCTTCTCATCTGTGACTAATGGTGAAAGGTTTCTCAGGTGGAAAAATAGTGGCTTTTCAAATAGTATTGAGTGGGATTTTGCAGAATGGACCTTTGACTAGCACCAGGAAAGGGCAGCAGACAGTATTGAGTGGGATTTTGCAGAGTGGACTTTTGGCCAGCACCAGTAAAGGGCAGCCCTGGGGCCATGGAGGAGCTTCTGTTCACACAGAAGGCTTTGGCTTTGTGTGTTTTGTGCTGCTCACTGGTGTGATCTGATCTCTCTCTCTCTCTCCTCTCCAACCCATTAGGGAGGAGAACGGCCGAAAATTAGCCTGCCGGTGTCTCTCTATCTGCTGTCACAGGTATGCTTGATCATTCACCGTTGTCTCCACTACATTTGGGGTCCCTTGGCGTGCCGCTGCCTTGAAGAAAATTCCCAGATCACGTCACTCCATCTTCTCTGTGTCCCCTACCCTGAAATAAAATAACAGTCAAACAAAAGGGGCTTTCTGTTTTCCAGGCACCAAATAGAGGTAGTATGTATCCTTTTCATGGTAGGAGATAGAAACCCAAAGAGAAATGAAAAATAAACCAAACCTGACTTGTGTAGTTGATTTTTACCTTGAAGACTGGGGTTTCCAAAACAACTGAAGAGTGCTTGAAATACCCTGGATATGTGGGCTGCAGCGCTTTTACTCACAGGACTTTGAATGAAGCCCCACACTGCAGAGCCCACAGTGTGCAAAACATAGCAACCTTGGTGTAACAGACTTCCTGAAATGAGGCTATTTTTAAAGGGCTTAATCGCAGTTCTATTTCCCAGATTACCTTGTGGAAGGGATCTTGTAGCAACCTTGAGCCAATTTGTCTCCCTCCCCTCCTTAAACAAATGTGTTTCCTTCATGTAATTATGTAATATTTACAAGAAGGGAAAAACTCCATAGTGACCCAGTTACATAACTTTAAAAATATTTTTATTACAAGCAGTCCAGACTCTCAGGGCGTCTTATTAGACTGTCAAGTAGTCCAGCATTTGCCCAGAAGTCTGTTTCCGCTTTTGCAATGGTACAGGTACTTATTTGCTTTGATGAGGAACTGTCCCTCTAACTTGATCCCTAGCTGTTTTGAATTTGGGGTGGGGCTTTGTCTTTTTGGCTGGAGAGGAGAGGTTCAGAGCCCACCTCCTCCCAGCAGGTAGACCAGTCCGGACACATCCTGACCACCACTCACAGCCTGGCGTCCTGTCCTGGGGCTCTGTTTGCTGAGAGCTCTGCACAGGGCGGCTCTGTCTGAATGCCGCTCTGTACCACGGCGCTCAGCACAAACCCTAGCCTCTCCTGGCAGCTTTTTTCTGCTGCCTCTTTCCAAGTCTCTGGCAGCTCCTGCTTGGGACTCTGGGAGTCCAGCAGGACCCAACCAAGCCAGTTCTCAGCCCCAGGAATCACATGGCATCCTTCAGCTGTTGAAGGACGCTTCAGCTGTTGGAGCATTGCCCAGGCAGGGTCTGCTCCAGAGAGCATGGCCACCCACAGCAGGAACGTCAGTGGAGAGGGTCACGCCTTTCCTTTGAGACTTCTCTTCTGTTTGCTTTGTAAAGGACCAGTAGCCCAGGCACCCAGTTACTTGTTTCAGCATCTCACAGAAAACCTAGCGTGTACTTCAGTGTTCCTCAAACTTGAGTAATAGAACCCTTTTAAACAACCCCCTGCATTTTCATTTAGCTTAAGGAAAACGTGACCTAAATGTGTGAAAACCTAAAATCAGCTGTAAATCCTCTGTTCTTAAAGCCCCTACATCAATATAAAATCATTGCATACTTGCAGATTATTTTACAAGCGCAGCTAGAAAACCGTGAAAATTTGCATGGATCACATTAATTTGGCATGACAGGTGATGCTGTCTTCCTAAAATTAAACTACTAACAGTGAGTGTGGTGCGGGTAGCTGGGCCCAGCTTTTTGCATCTGGTCTGCACATCCTTCCATGTGCCCTGCAGTTACTCGCCCTCCCTCTTTTTCAAGTTGAGAGCCAGGAAAATGAGTGCTGTGCGTGTCCATGGGCAGAAATTGGTTGCATTGTTCAGAGGTGGGGGGCCTTTGTAGGTGCTCACTGAATGCTTGTGGACTGAACAGAAGAAGGAATAAATGATCCGTTAAGGTCACATTCATACAAGGTATGTAATAGATATTTGATAATGAATGACCACAGTGATTGGGGTTTTGCATTGTTGGTAGAGTGATATGTGGCAGTAATTCAGTCATAATGAAGGTGAGAAAAATTATCATCGCCATTGCTAACATTTGAGGGCTTGCCAAGCCTTGGACATGGGTTAACTCATTGAATCATACTTTGTGGTCTCTGTGATGGAATAGGTTCCCAGTATTTTAAAAACAGATGCAGATTTTTATAGGGAGGTGCCACATTGGCCATTCTGTCTGTACCTTTTATTCAATTTGAATTGTATTTATTTGTTGGAATAATATATTCCCCCTGTTCAAACAGTACAAAACATGACATGGGAAAAGTCTCTCTCTTATTCTGTACCCTGGCACCCAGCCTCATTCCCCAGAGGCAGCCTGTGTTGATTTTTGCCTTCACTTTTTAAGAAATAATATTTTTAAAATAAAAAATGTTTTTTAAGGTTAAAAAGTTCAAACAGGTAAAAACTGGGTTTCTTTTCTAGTTTTGTTCAGGCTCCTGACTTCTATCCCCAGAGACAATGAGGGTTACAGGGTTCTCCTATGTCCTAACAGAGATCTGTCAGGGGTTCTCCACTAGGGGCAATTTTGCCCCTCAGGGGATACCTGGCAATGTCTGACTCATAGTCAGTTGTCATGACTGAGGCTGTGAGTGGTGGTCAGGATGTGTCCAGACTGGTCTACCTGCTGGGAGGTGGTGGGCTCTGAACGTCTTCTCTCCGGCCAAAAAGACAGAGCCTCACTCCAAATTCAAAACAGGGAGGGATCAAGTTAGAGGGACAGTTCCTCATTAAAGGCATTTGTGGGTAGAAGTCAGGGATGCTGCTAACCAGCCTGCCGTGTCTGGGACAGCCTCCCTTAACACTCAATTACAGCCGGAAGTGTCAGCAGTGCCATGATTGAGAAAGCTTGGCCTATGCATATGTAAGTAAGCAAATACAAACATACACACATGTTTATATACAAATGGTAGATAAGCCACACCCTGAGCTACACCTGTTGCCTTTACATTTTAAAACAAAATAGCAGGCATATCTAGGCCAGCTTTGCAAGACAGTTTTGAATACCCTGATTTTTGAAGCTCGTCCTCTGAACATTGGGCAACAGGTGTGGGAGCAGGGCCAGCTTAGCCCAGAGCCCTCTGCTTCTGTATGCTGGCCCGCCTGGGTCTGCCTCTGTCTCCTGTGGTTTTCAGCCCCGTAGTTAGCACACCTACTGATGATGCTGTGGAATCCCTGTGTGCTAAAACCCACCACAGAGTCGGAGCTCCTTCACACAATGGAATCTCTGCGTAGCCAACCCTCTGCCAAGTCCTTGATTGGGACAAGCCTCCAGCCCTTTCTCCCTGTATCACTAAAGTATTGGGACAGTGCCTTCTAGTCTTATCATAATCAAATTTGACACTAAAATGCCCGTGGAAAGGAAGGAGTGTGCTGGTTTGGCTGTTCTTTCCTGCATTGCTCCACTTCAGCCGGATTTGGCTTCACCCAGCCATGAGGGACAGTCTCGCATTAATGCACTTCCTTCCGAGGAAGAGCAGCCAGCCAAACAGGCAACAGTCTGAAGGAGAGGCCAACCTTACAAGAGCGTAACTGATTGCTGCTAACTGTGGCTCATTCTTTGGATTTTGCTTCATAGGAATTGCTGCTTAATACAGGACTTAGGTAGCCCAGCCTGGTCCTTTCTGATCCAGGAAGCAAGAGGTTGAAAATAGTACACACTTTCCTGCAAATCCCGTTTCTTTTTTTCCACCAGGTCTTCTTAATTATACATCATGCACCGCTGGTGAACTCATTAGCTGAAGTCATTCTGAATGGTGATCTCTCTGAAATGTACGCTAAGACTGAACAGGATGTTCAGAGAAGTTCTGTAAGTCATTAGCTTTGGGACTGTTGCTTGACCTTAATAAGAAACCATTGCTCATTTTGCTAATCTGTGTGTTTCTCTAAAATCAGAAACTAACATTCTGAGTATATAGCCATGATGATGGATAAGCTGGTCTGGGATTCATTGAGCCTAATCAGAGTCTTGATTGCATACCCAGGAAAAGCTGGGGTCAGGTACCTGGATTTGATTGATTGTGTCTTCTTAAGCATGGAATTGTACCACTCTGGGCCTTAGGTTGCACATCTGTGTTATCGGGACACAGAAAATGCTTTATCTGAGGAACTAATATCTACAGAGGTTGGGCGATGAACATCCATAAATGACTCAGGCCCCAGGTCAGGGCAGTAGGGAGTGGTGGGGGGTGTGGCAAATTGGAGAGTATATGACACCTTTGCGAGCAGCCTCTGCTTCACCCCAGGCTGCTGCTCTTATGCAGGAATATGGATGTAGGATTACTAGGTTTTTTCATGTTTCTAGAGAAGCTGGAAATCTGCATTTTTATGTGTCATCTTCAGTTTTAAATGATCACCAAACTTTGGACTAAACAGCACGTTTGTGGTTTGTAGGAGCTTTGGAGTTCCATTTGGCTATCACCAACCCTTGATGGCCAGTGTTGTGACTTCTCTTGATGCTTTCCCATGGTGTCCTCTGTATATCTTTTCTGTCATTCCTCACGTCCTGATTACCTGTCCTGAGCTCCAGCTGCCTTAATCCTGGCCTGACTTACCTTTCCCTCAGCATGTCCAGCATTTGTGCCTCCGAACCTGTGCCTTTACAGTACCCACAGCCTGGTTACTGGTGCACCAGGAACCAGGTCTTTTGAAAGGTCTTACCTGCTCTAAGCTCCTTATGGCAGGGATCTCACCTGTCTCTGAATCAGCTGCAGCATAAGTGAGATGAACGCAGCGCGTTTTATACAAGGGTCGTTTCCTACAGGTTTCCTCCCTGCACCCAGGTGCTCAGGCAGTGACCAGGCTGGTAAAAAGTCCAGCTTGCCCTGGTGTAGTAGACCTGCTGCCCCACCTGCATGAATGTGTGGAATGTGACCCTGTGAGTGAAAGGCCACCACTGCGCAGAGTATAATTACAAGAGGCTCCTGCCTTCTGTACGTGTTTTTGGTGTATGATGGTCTGGCCCGGTTGTTTTGTTATTCCGGGGAGCATTACTGCCTCTGAAAAGCTTGGCAGAAACCCCATCCTTGTTCAGCTGCATTGAATGGGGCCTTTTCATGGCCCCTGTCTGGCCTATCCCTTTCTTGATTCACTCAGCAGAGTTGATGAAGCTCTTTCTTTGGGCCAAGTATCATGCTAGTTCTGGGGATATACAATGTCATAAACAGTGTGTGGCACCTTTGAGCTTTACAGTGCAGTAGGGAGATGGACATGGATCACATATGCAAATAAATGTACTTTCTCAACTCTTATAAATGCTCTATAGGGAAGAAATGTTTGGTGAGAGGATTTGGCTTGGAGGTGACAGGTGAAATGTTAAACAGAAAGGCTTTCCTAACGTTTCATCTCATGACAGCACATGGCCCAGCTGACTCAGTGTTTATGGGGTCATAGATATTTCTTCGCAACTTTCTTCATGTAGCGTTTGCTAAATGAATGTAAGTCACAGAAGGCTGAGTCAGCAGAACTGGCGGGGCCTCCGGTTAGAGGTGCCACGTGCCCCCATGACTAGCTATGTGGCCGTGGGCAAGTTGTTTCACACCATTTAGAAAACCGGCAGCGCAAGCCCTGCTCTGGAGAGCTGATGGAGATGGGGGAAAATACAGAGTGTCCATCAGGTGCCTGATGGGTTGCAAACTGGCCCCAGACCCATTTGGTTTGGTCTGTGCAGTGTTTAAAAGAAAACTTTTTGAATTGCCAACACTAAAATTTAGGAAGAAAAGTCCAGGTTTTTGGAATCTTCTCCAGTAGTCATAAAGCTGCCATGGCTTCGTCTCAGATTGTCTTACTGTAAGATACCCTCTACAGTGCTGAAGTTAGACTTGGTGTTCTAAGAGACAAAACCAGAGATTGCTGGGCTCTGGGATTTGCAGACTTTTTTATTTTAATTTATTTTATTTTATTTTTTTTGAGATGGAGTCTCACCCTGTTGCCCAGGCTGTGGAGTCCAGTAACGTGAGATCACTGCAGCCTCTGCCTCTGGGTTCAAGCGTCAGCCTCCCGAGTAGCTGGGACTACAGGCATGCACCACCACGTGGGCCTTGCTAATTTTTGCATTTTTAGTAGATATGATGTTTACCATGTTGGCCAGGATGGTCTTGAACTCCTGACCTCAAGTGATTTGCCTGCCTTGGCCTCCCAAAGTGCAGGGATTACAGGTGTGAGACACTGCACCCGGCCTGCAGCATTTTTGAAGTTGTGATAAGAACACAACATGAGACCTACCCTTTTAACATATTTTTATTTGTATACTTAACATTATTGTTGAGTGTAGGTACAGCGTTGTTCAGCAGATTTCTAGATCTCGTTTATCTTTACGTGACTGAAACTTCAGAAGTCTGATGTGCTATCCATTGCCCTGTGGACACACCTGCGTGACTGACACTTCATACCCGTCAGACAACAACTCTCCATCCCCCCAACCCCAGCAATCACCAGTCTGTTCTCTGCTTGAGTTTGACAATTTTAGATACCTCATATCATTAGAATCGTGCAGTGTTTGTCTTTGTCACTGGTTCATTTCACTTAGTGTAATGTCTTCGAGATTCATCCTTGTTGCATGTATCAGAATTTCTTTCCTTGTTAAGGCTGAATGTGTGTGTGTGTCTGTGTGTGTGTCTGTGTGTGTGTACCAAGAAGTATATACCACATTTTCTTTTTTTTCTTTATCCATTTATCCATTATTATGCAGGTTTGGTTTTGTTTCGAGTCAGAGTCTGGCTGTGTTGCCCAGGCTGGAGTACAGTGGTGCAGTCTGAGCTTGCCACAGCCTCTCCCTCCTGGATTCAAGTGATTCTTGTGCCTCAGCCTCCTGAGTAGCTGGGACTACAGGCGTGTATCACTGCACCTGGCTAATTTTTTTTCTTTTTGTATTTTTAGTAGAGATGGGGTTTCACCATGTTGACCAGGCTGGTCTCGAACTCCTGGCCTCAAGTGATCCACCCACCTTAGCCTCCCAATGTGCTGGGATTACAAGCATGAGCCACCACGCCCGGCTATTATGCAGGATTTTTTCAAATACAAATTTTTTACTAAGATAATTATAGATTGGCATGCAGTTGTAACAGATAATACAGAGGGATCTTCCTCAGTTTCCCCCGGTGGTAACATCTTGTCAAACTCTACTACACTCTCACAAGCAGCATATTGACAATGACACATAGGTATGTATGAGCAAAAGCAAATTCCAGGTTACTGGCAACCTCTTGGTTTAGGACACTGGCAGTAGCTGAACTCTTTAGTGAGAGGGAGTGTGTAGGAGGTCTTTTCTTTTTCCTGATGGCCGCTTCTTGGGATGAAGGTCTCACCTCCCTTGTGAGAGACACACAAACCGCCCTTGAGACATAACTGCTGGTCGTGGTGGACACCTGAGCTGAAAATGAGACTCTAGTGTGGAGAGAACCGCCAGCCCACATGTGTCGGCTTTCTGCTTCCAGTTGCTACCTTTCCCTCAGTGTGAAGTTGAAGTTGGTTGTATTCCAATGACTATCGTTCACATTTGGGAAGAGCACAGGCTGAATCCCATCTGTGACTTGTTTGACAATAGTCCTGGTATGATTTACCTTCCTTCCCTGTGAGCAAGAACAGTCTCCTATTGTTTCCTGCCCATCTCGGATGTGGTTTGATCATACTTGTTTTAAGTTTCTTGGTCTTTTTTAACCTACTTTCTCCTTCCCGTAATTTGTAGATAAGTTACTGGTATTGCCTCATTTTTACCAGCAGACCTTTCACAAAACCAAACCAAAATTGAAGAGAGAGAAGCAGAAGGGAGATCACAGTTATTTGAAAGGACTGTAATTTAGGGTTAAATGGAAAACACATCAGCATGGTTAGATGAATGTCTAATAGAAATTCATCTGTGCATTAAAATCATATGGTTCCTGCTCAGGGCTAATTCTTGCTGTAATTCGAATGCAGACCAGATAGTGTTTCTTGTGTGGGGAAATCGAGCAGGAGAACACTAATTCTGAAACTGCTAACATCTCATTGTTTTTGCAGAATGAACACATAGATTAGAATTTGGGATATGCATCATTTCTTGTAGGTACTTTTTTTTTTAAAGGACTTTTTTTCCTCTTGAATTTCTGTGGAATAGTTTTCTTCCTTTTTGCATTCATTCATTCATTCATTCATTCATCTATTCATCCATTCCTTCAGCAGACATCTGTCATATACTTGTGCTGAGAGATGAGGGATGTGGTGGTACACAGGAGCGACATGACTCCTGCCCTCCCTGGGCTTCCCTCCTCCCCTGAGGACAGGGACCATGTCTCGGAGATGCCTGTGCTACCTGTGCCATCATGGGGCTTGCCAGAGATGCCCAGGACTTGTTTGGTGCAGGCATGAATGACTCAGTGGGTGAAGTGCTAGAAGAGTTGCAAGGGCTCTCGTGACATTCTCGTAATGATTCTCAGAGCAGAAATCACTTCCTAGCCTGCCCCTTGAATGCTGCCTTTTCTTTGCCTCAGTGGCCAGGTTTGGAGTGGGCTGCTTTTGGTGCTGTTACACGTTCTACCTCCAGAGGCAGCTTCATGGAGCAAGTGCTGTAACGAGTTTCCCTGGGCTGCTCAAATCCTGATTTTACTAGGTATACCAGGGAGAGTTGTTCCACTTTCCCAGGCCTCAGTTTCTTACCTGTCCAGTGAGAATAGCAAATGTGGGTTTAGGATGACAATTAAATTCTGTGTAAAGTGCTTACTCCAAAGCCTTTTTATGTACACAAGTGCATAAATATTAGATGTTATCATTATAATGATCTTAGTTCCTGAGGCTGCATAGTGACCTTCCACCTCCTAGATGGGACCTCCTTCC